TTTAGTGGATATTTTATTTAAAATTAGAATTTATTTAATTCCGTATTATTTTGAGATGATAATAATTTTTTTCATTTATTGGTTAGCATAGAACAATTTATATGAAAAATTAAATATTGATTTTTTTAGGTGGGAAGGGTTATAAATTTTCTCAAAATTAATATTTTAAAATTTGTTTTTCTGTTATTTTACATATTTCTTTTGCAATTATTTTTTATTGTTTCCAAATACATTTTTATAGGTTAAATATTTATTTATTTATTGCTTTCTGATTTTATTCTGTTATGTCCACACTATTTCTATTCTTACGGCATAAAAAACAAATTAAATTTTATTGCATGTTGTTCCTTTTGAAATACTTTGCATACATTTGTGATCAATTAAAAATTTAAATGCTTTATTTGTTTCTAATTTAAAAATTCAATTATTAGTTAGTTTTACATAAATATTTCATTTCAAATCGAAATGTATTTAATGTCATATTATTTTGAGAAGACAATTTTTTGATTTATTAGTTAACATAAAACAATTTATATGGAAAATTAAATGGCAATAATATTTTCATATATGATCTATATTTTCATTTCAAAATAAATAATTTATATTTTTTATATTTGTTTATAATATTTTTTAATTCTTTGTTACTTTATATAATATTTTTTTACTAAATTATAATTATGTTGACTGCTGATAATAATATGCCAAGTAGACGATGTTCAATTAGCAAAGAATTATCATAGCCTTTTTATCGTTTTGAATGCGTATATATATTTTTTTTGTTCTGAGTATTTTCCCTGTATTTCTTTGCAATTGCTGTTGTTATATTTTCTTAATTACATTTTCCAAATTATTCTTTTTATTTTTAACATTTTACTAAATCTGGGCAAGGTTATTAACCATTATCTCATAAAACTAATGATAATTAATCCTACAAATTATTTCATCTGCATTAACATTGTAAGTTTATATTCTTGCAGTTTAAATTTTGCCAATAAACGTAAATTTTTCGCTAAAAATTATAGTGTTACAAATTGTTACGTATTGGTTGTTTACTTGTTATTGAGTGTTGTTTGCTTAATTGTGCTACCTTCGTAAATTTCAAATAAACTTTATAATTATTTATAGTTGAAATCATGTTAATATCTTGTTGTAGACAATCTTTAATTTTTAAATGTAAACATGTTTACTGGGTTTTAGATTCATAGAATAACGAAAAATTCTTAATGAATATTATGAAGTGATTATGATTTTATTATTAAGGTTTATCATGAAGTTATTTGTAAGGTATATATTTCCAGCCTTTATGTTATTCAAATGGTTTCAATAACAGATAACAATTTAATGGTACAAAATGTTTAGATTAATATTCATATATTTAAATTGAATATCTTACTTATTTATAAGTAAGATATCCAATTTTTATATCCAATTAAAATATTTTTATCAGTAAAATATCCACATTACTCGAAATCAAAGCTCACATTCGCATCTTAAATAATTGTTCATAAACTTTTTTATTATATTGTTGCTGAATATACATTATCATTACGAAAGTACACGTACGTGTATTTTTTAATTTTTCAGATGATTAAAGATATTGTATTTATCCTTTTTTTTTGTTCTAATGCAGCTGGCAAACACTTAGATAATTGGTTGCCTTAAGGCAAGAGCTGCACCTACGTTACTCACTTAGCACTACCCAGGAGGAGCGTGTAGCTTGAAAATAAATCCCGAATGCGGAGTTACAATACCCCCGCAAAGCTCTACGATCATGTTTGACCGGTAGCTACGGTTTACAGTGGATTCCGAACCAATACAAATATCCTTGGCACCACCGGGACTCGAACCCGAAACCTGTGGTATCGAGCGCCAGAGCGCTAGCCACTCGGCCATTCAGGCCAGGCCTTATTTTAAAGTAAAATATTTTATATTCAATACAAATATTTTTATAAGTAATATAACCACATTATCCTAAATCAGAGCTCATATTCGCATCTTAAATAATTTTTCATAAACTATATCATTATATTGTTGCTGAATATACATTATCATTACGAAAAAAAATACATATTCTGATGATGTTATAATGCACATATATTTTTTTAATTTGTGAGATAATTAAAGATATTTTTCTGTAACAAATTATCAGGATTTTGACCAACATATAGCAATGTTTAGCTTACAGAGTTTCATAAAGTTTATCTCAATTATTCCCGCAAATTCCGTTACATTACAAATTTATGTCCAAAACAGCAACTTTAAACCGCAAAAGAAGTTAAGACTTTTGAAAAAAAATTGCGGTTGATGTTGCTGTCGAAGATCTCTGGCAACTCTTCACCGATGTGATCCTCTTGGCAGCTCATTATTTTTACAAATCTCTCTTGAAGCAATTTGGTAAAACTGAAACGTTTGATGCATCGATCTTCATCAGCCGTCAATTCAGTCACTTGCACGTCAGCCTATCAGCAAAAGCCTCAAGAGCCCTGATGCATGAAATAGCTAACACCCAACTGGCATTCCTTCGCTGTAGGTTAAAAGTGTACGCCTGAATTTCCATCAAATGTAGTGTAAAAATGCCTATCTAAATTATATCTCTGGAATCCTAGTATAGTAAAAAAAAAATTAAATTAAAGTTTATATTAAGTTAATTAATTAATAAATATTTATATTAAGTTAATTAATGAATAAATGTTTAAATGAAGTTAATATTTTTTTATGTGTAAATCAGCATATAATTAGAAATTAAACATATTACTGTGCAAATGGAAAAAATAAAAATATATTCCATGGAAATTCTGGCGTATACTGGTTAAAAGTGTACGCCAGAAATTCCATCAACGATTGTAGAAATGCCTATCTAAATTATATCTCTGGAATCCTAATGCAGTAAAAGAAATTACTTAATTTTAGTAATGTTTATATTAAGTTAATGTCTTCTATGTGTAAATAAGTAAATAATTAAAAAATAAACATTACAGATTTATAAAAATAAATAATTTATAAAATAATTTTATTTTATTTAATGGTTGTATATGTTGCTGGACGAAATTATAACTTTAATTTAAATAACTTACTCTTACTCATATGTATTAATTACAAAAATATTTAAAGCTCTACTTTCAATTAAAATTTTTTTTATGAAATTTGTGCGTTTTTTAGGCTTATTATCAAAAATAACTTAAAATTATAAATAACTAATTATGCTTTGATGCATGAAATTGGTAACACCCAACTGGCATTCCTGTGCTGTAGGTTAAAATTTACGCCTGAATTTCAATCAATGATGTTAAAAATGCCTATCTAAATTATAAATCTCGAATTCCATCATAGTGAAAAAAAATGAAATAATATTAGTAATGTTTATATGAAGTTAATATCTTTTATGTGTAAATCAGCATACAATTAAAATATAAATATATTCCTGTGCTGTAGGTTAAAAGTATACGTCTGAATTTCCATCAACGATGTTAAAAATGACTATCTAAATTATGTCTCTCAAATCCTGATAAAGTAAAAAAAAAATTAAATACGTTTAGAAATATTTGTATAAAGTTAATATATTTTATATGTAAGGCTATACATAATTAAAAAATAAACATTACAGCTTTTTAAAATTGAATAATTTATAAAATAATTAAATTTTATGAAATAGTTATTTATGTTTCTGTACGAAATTATAACTCTTCTTGTGTGCTTATATGTAATTATTGAAATATTTAAAAGCTATACTTTCATTTAAATTTTTGTATGTTATTTTGTGCTTTTTTATGCTTCACATTAAAAATAGCTAATTACGCTTTGATGCATGACGTTGATTTGATTCTATCAACGATGTTAAAAATGTTTATCTGAATTATATTTCTGGAATCCTAATATAGTAAACAAAATAAATAATTTTAGTAAGTTAAATAATTTTAGTAATCAATATATATTTAAAAAATAAACATATTCGTACGTTGTAGGTTAAATTTATAAGCCTGAATTCCCATCAACGATGAAAAAAATCTACATTATATCTCTGGAATTCTAATATAGTAAAAACGTTTTAGTAAAATGTTAGTAATGTTTTAGTAATGTTTACATAAAATTAATATATTTTATGTGTAAATCAGTATATAATTAAAAATCTAAATTATATCTTTGGAATGTTAATATAGTAAAAATATTAAATAAATTTAGTAATGTTTACACGAAGTTAATATCTTTTATGTGTAAATCAATATATAATTAAAAAATAAACATTATATATTTATGAAATTGAATAATTTATAAATTAATTTAATTTTATGGAACTATATTTATTGCTTGTCGAAATTATAACTCTATTGGTTTACACATATATAATAATTACACAAATATTGAAATATTCAAGAGCTCTACTTAAAATTTAAATTATTTTATCAAATTTTATGCTGAGTTGTTTATTCTTTGAATAAAAAATAACTAATTATAAATAATGTATTCTAAAAGTTAGCCGAGTCTCTTAAAATACAAAAGTTGTTTTTCACTGAAAATTAAAATTAAAAAAAAAACTGCACAAAAAACCTAATTAAATTTAAGACACACTATATCCTTCATTTTCTTAGAAATCTGCACAAAAAATGTTAATTAAAATATAAAAATAAAAAAACAATATCCATAATTTTCTTAAAAAATCTGCTCAAAAAATTCCAATTAAAATTTAAAAAAAAAAGATCGAAGATTTTTAATCACTTAAAAGGGAACAAAAAAAAAAATTTTAAACATAAAATAAAATAAACGCATTACAAAATAAAACAGAAAATTCATATATATTAAAGATATCTTTAAATTTTTGGAAGAATATTTAATTTATTTTTTATTTCAATTGTCCTCAGAGTTAGAAAACATTCAGCAAAATTGATGAATTGGTAGAGCATTATATTTATCATTAGAAGATATAGTAAACACATGAAATTTGCATGATGAGGCCAGTTGTTTTTACTAACATTGTTTATCCTTATTACACATTATCAGGTGCCAACGGCCGTACCATGCTGAATATACCGGTTCTCGTTAGATCACCGAAGTCAAGCATCATTGGGCGCGGTCAGTACTTGGGTGGGTGACCACCTGAGAACGCTGCGTGCCGTTGGCAAATTTGGGACCTGAATGGCCGAGTGTCTAGCGCTCGGTGCCACAGGTTTCGGGTTCGAATCCCGGCGGTGCCATGGATGTTTGTAGTGGTTCGGAATCCACTTTAAGCCGTAGGTCCCGGTCTTCTATGACTGTAAGAGCGTCGCGGAGCAAAAATCAGGCTTCTACCTACGGGTGCTCCATCACAACAGAAGCTGCTTCCTTCCCCTTCAATCATGAGTCCATATGGGCTCGTGGGCTTGGCCAGCCAAGTGGGATAAGAAACAACAACAACACATTATCATCATTAATATAATGAAAGTATATCGAGCATGTATTATCATAAAATATATTTTATTGAATCTAATTTCATAATTTCATTATGAATAAAAACTAATAAAAGAGTTTTTCGCAGATTGATTTTTGTTTCTAAATTAAATATTTTTAACCCTCCTATATTTTGAATTACGTAGAATATCTATGCAGTATATATTTTTATGCAGAATAACAGCCTCAGTATTATGCAGTATATATATTTAGAATATCTGTGCAGTATATAGCCTCTATTTTTTTTTAGTTAATTTAAGATATTAATATAATTAAAATAATCTAAAATAATAATAATAATAATAATAATCAAAATATAATTATAATGGGACGTAAGTATAAGCGTAAAGATATGATAGAGACGGTGTAAAATAAATATTTTTTTATGGTGTTTTGGTGATTTTTATTTATGTAAAATGTATTGATTTTTTTCTTTGAAATAATAAGATATATTTTCTTTACTAACGTAGGCATAATTTTCAGGTACTAAATAAGAAAATATTGAGTGAAATATTTTTCTAACATTTTGGTAATATAATTTCCTTTTTTAACCAACTACTGATGACATGCTACCTAACTTTTTCTTCTTTTCATTAAAATCTGAAATTCTACTTCTGTTTACTTTGCAATATAAACAGGGATTAAAATTTTTTGAGGTTGTTCTTACTTATATTTTTTTTTTCTTAGCTCGTATTATTCAGAAAAACATTTATTTTACTTTCATTTGGATATAAAGTATTTTTCATAACTTTTGCCATTAACAGTTTTAGTTCACTCTTAAATTATCTTCATATAGCAATATAATCAACAAAAATTTTAATAGATTTTAGCAAAATGTGTTTAATAATTTTTTTATATTCATTTGCCTATTTACTACTTAAGTATGAAAAAAAAATTGTAGACTTTATAATTTCCATTTGCATGAATTAAATATATATAACCTATCCATTAACCTGTCTTGTATGTAACCTGTCCATTAAATATAAAATAACTCTCCAATGTGGTCCATTTGCAAAAATTAAACATTATTAGTTTTGGTAAATTTTGTGAAGAAAAACTATCTGTGCAGTATTAAGAATTGAGATGTTAAAAAAATTGCTCCTTAAATATATAGTAATAACAATCTTTATTGTTAGAGGTTTGAGCCACAATGTATAGTAGGATCGCAATGACGAAATAAAGCAATTGTACTTAGCCAAACGATTTCTCCAAATACTTTTTACCGTTTATCTGTCAGCATTTATTTTTAAAATATTGTAGAGCTAGTTTGATAAATAAATTGAAAAATAATACTACAAATTTTCATTCATTTTTATATTCAAATATTCATATTCATTTTTATCCTAACTTAACTAATGACGTCAATGAATTAATTAAAGCTGTTGCCATCTGGTTTTTAATTAAAATAACATATTTATTAAAAAAATTTACCTAACGTATATGTATGAATTTTTTTTGAAATTAAATGATTAATTTAATATAAAAATTGAAGAAAAAATAATGAAATTCTTTGATACAGTTTTTAAGTTATGCTGGAACATACAAACAAAAATACGTAAATTTCACCTCCAGAAGGTGTTGTGATTACCAGTTATAGTCGAATATCCAAGTTTTTTTCTTATAGACAATCCCAAATTTCAATACTTTTTCTTCATTGTTTTCAGTTTTTCAAAATTTTTTTTTATTCTTTGGATTTTCAATTTCAATTTTGTATGATCTTTTTTTTAATAAAGCCAATAAAATCAGTTGATTGGCTTAACAGTTCATCGAATGACTGTTTTAAAATATCAAAAAATTAAGTTGAGTTAATAAACTTGAAATAATAAATAGAAAATATCTGATCAAAGACCATGGTAGTGGTTTTCCTTAAAATAAATTTATATAATCATCACAGAAATTTTAGCGAAACAATAATTTTATTTTCATATTTAGATATATTCTTCGTTTTTTGAAATTCCATCAATTCCATACTGATGCCTTTTAAAAAGATTTCAAATACCATAATATTTCGAAACGTACAAGGTATTTGCAAACTCTTTTAACAAAATAAGAGGATGTTCTTATAAATGAAGAACAAAAATATTGGCAATGGAAATTATTACAGTGTCACATTTAAAGGCTTAGATAAAGAAAAATTTAAATGTCTAAAGTGAAGTTTCATCAAAGGAAAAATGATTACTTCAATAGGAAAAAGATTATTAATTCATTAGCTGCGGAGTGACATTTAGATAAAAGAAAGGTTCATTGTCTTACAAGAGTACCGTGCACAGTTTACACCTGCGAATGAAAGAGTGACTGATATCGTGTTTATCCTAACTGTTGCACCAATAATTATCCTGACGAGATGTTCCACGATGCCCAGAGATATTTCAACAGCGATTTCATGTTAATTATCTGTTAACCAACAGTGATTTCATATTAAACTATTAATCTAAAAAATATAAAAGTGACATATTAAAGAACAACGTTTGCTTCTGATGACTTTCTATTGGACCGGTGAAGAGATAATCAGCTGCAACTGCTGATGCGGCTTCTATTCACTTGAAATTTGCATACACAAATTCTTTGACGCTGATTGAACTTTGTTTTGAAGATGAGTTACTTTCCTGATAAGACAAAAAGACCTGAAGTTACGATGCTTGAATAATGCTTGCTGGACGTATTTTGAACTTATTCATTTCCTTCTATCAGCTCACACTTTCCCTATATTTATCTTGTTCAAATTTTCATTCGTTAATAAAATACTTTTTATTCATCCACTCAAGCTCAAATACATTTTTTTTAAACTTTTAGTGGATGACACTTGATTTTATTACAGTTTTTTTCAAATATTAATTCAGTAATTAAATTTAATTAATTAAATTATTTTTTTTAGATTTCAGCTGCATATATCTACAAATAGATGGCGCTAGATAAACTTAAAAAACTGAATGAAAATTATTTATAACTGACTTTTCTGCAATATAATGAAAAAAAAAAAAAAAAAAAAAAAAACAGAATTGACTTTTAATTTTAATTTTTTTTTTTATTTTACTTGCCTTTATGATACTCAGTGGAATGTAGTCTTATGTGCAGTTGCAAATATTGCTCTTCATTATGCATAGTATCATACAGTTTTAATGAATGCTCTTATTTTGTGCTGATATTTTACATTCATTAAATTATATTTATTGTTAAAAAACATAATTTCGATAAGTCTCTTATTCATTTTTTAAACTTTTTTCTGTATTTGCTCATTTTACAACTAGAAAGTTGAAACAAATCACTTTTCTTTCAAGATTTAAAACCAAACAATAAAAAAATATTCAAAATGGGCTAAATTTTAGTACATAATTTAGTGATTAGGAAAAAAAAAAATATGTTACTCAAAGCTTTAATTTGAAATCTATAAAACTATCCTATTTAAGTCTCTTCCATGTACTGATAATAGAAATATTAAAAAAATTCACTTTAATATCACTTTTAGTGAAAATAGTTACAGAATAGTGTACTCTTTATGATGGTCATATGTCATATACTATTTATGACTGATGTTAGACAAAAAAGTGCACCTTTTTTCACTGTAAAAGATTATTTAATATTATAAAGATTCATAGAAATTTATGGGTTTATTGTAATATATGGGACCATCTATGCAGCTTTTAAAAAATTGCTAGAGTTTTCTTATAACATTTACATAAAAGATAAAAAGTATAATTTTGTAGAAAAAAATCATAATAAGGATCATCATAATCATCATCATAGAAATAAAACTTGGATTTCATATAAACTATCTTCAATTTTTGTGAATAAATAATTTTTCACAAGAAATAAAAAAAGAATCTAAGAACAATTAATTCAATTAATATAATTAATATAATTAATCATTAACATTAAAAATTAAAAATTAATATTTCTTTAATTTTTGTGTATTAAAAATCAATATGCTACAACTATAAGAGAAATATTAACAACCAGTATACTCCCTCCTCTTATATATTTATGTGTTGTTTTAGTTTATAATCATAAAATTAATTTAACTAACTACATTCATTTAATTTTTATTTAAACTATATAAATAGTACTTAGTTATGTAATACAACATTAATATTATTACCTAATATTAATACATTAGTAATAATATTAGGTAATACTTATGACATATTATATTTAGTTAATGTACTATATGGCATATTATGCACTAAAAGTACTTATGTTGGAATAAATGTTAGTATAGATAATTTTAATTGAATTATAAATTTTATTTTAATCTATGTATAATTTCACAGTATTATATTCTGAAACAAAAACGTTATGTGGCACATATGTTATTATATTTATATTTTAAAATAACTGGAATATTTTGAGGTTTCTTATCAAATGGATTTCTTATATTTTACGGAATATGTTTTGCTTTGAACCTCGCTGTAAATGGATAATGCATAAAACATTTGCTCAGAGAACTTAAATGCATCTGGGCTCTTATGTAAAGCTAAGAGCCTTTTATCCAAAAATGTCCTTTCGAAAGAAAGTGTTACTTAATACTCAGTATATCTAGCATTAAAAGATTATAAAATGCTTTTCTGTAAATATATTTAAGTAAGGTATTGAATTCTTGCGTTTTCTGTTTCTAATCGTGTGTAGAAAAATGTGCTTTTCTGGTTACATAAACATACAGGTATAGATATAAGTATAAAATTTATGTTAGAATT